TTTTTTTTTTTTAATTCACGATCACTAGGATAGCACTATTACTAGTAGCAAAGTTTATTATAATAAACTTTTCATCCACCAGGATATTTATTTTTAATTTTATTTTTTTATATCATTCTACTAAATGGGTTTCCTTTTTTGTCTGTGCCCCTTTTTGGAGGGATTTCCGATCACTTCCTGTTCTGAGCCACATCAGCCATTAGTACAGACAGGTTCAATCTACTCCCCCAAAAATTGCAGTTTGGGATTTCTCAGAAAAGAGCCAGTTACAGTTTTAAAATTATTTTTCAAATTCTGCTGTGTGAATGGGAACATGTAACAAATATAAAATGGGTGTTATCCCAATTTGGCTGCAAAAGTGGAAATACACTGTTGTGCACAGGATTACAGGATATTGATTAAAAAAAGTCAACCTCCTTGCATTAGCTTTATTTAACAATGTATTTAATTATTATATACTGCATTAAAACAGGACCTGTACTGTAGCAGCTGAGGCCAAAAATAGGCAAGCAGAGAGCAAAGGACTAGTCACCAGCATTGCCTGTAGGGTCTTTGCATCCAATTTATTCTTATAATAACTTACTATGCCGTGTTCTGTGTCTGTGTGGACAATAGAGGCTTCGCTTCCTGATGTCATACCAGTTCTCTGATGACTGGTGGGGTAATTAAGATCTGTGGAAAAACAATAAGCAGCACACTATTGACATCACCAGATCTTCAAATTTTTAAGAATAGCAGTCATCAACGGATTGGGCGGAACTAGCCTTAGATTGTCACCCTGCCACCTCAGTGCAAAGGAAAAATCTCCAAATCCCGTGAGCAGTCATCAGACAGATGTGGACAAGGTAGATTATTCACACTGCAGATTTGCACCTATTCGATTATGGGAACAGCAGTGCCTAGGCAGTGTTGCACATTGAGAAGTGCACTTTTTATTTTTCCGCAGCAGTTCAAGGCAAAGGGGTTTATTTTTTTAATTTTTGTTTTTTTCCCTCTTCCTATTGGGTTTTATGTCTTGGAAATCCCCGCCCGCCTCCCAACTAAGCAAAGTAAAAGGGGGGGGGGGGGGGGTGGACACTTTCTAACTTCCCCTTTTATAGAAAACACTCCGTGCTGACCTTAAACTAAATAACATTCCTACTATAACTGCGGTGCTGTTCTACTAAGAAAACTTACATAATTCACAGCAGTAAAGTTATTTGTTCATAATTCAGGGAAGCTAATGGTCAATAAAACCATAAAACAGTAAAGATATAAAATATCAAGTGAAGATTAATATTCCCAAGAATGAAAAAAAATGTTATAATCTCAAATTATATACTTCCTATAAAATATTTTTTTTTTTTTTTTTTTAATTCACGATCACTAGGATAGCACTATTACTAGTAGCAAAGTTTATTATAATAAACTTTTCATCCACCAGGATATTTATTTTTAATTTTATTTTTTTATATCATTCTACTAAATGGGTTTCCTTTTTTGTCTGTGCCCCTTTTTGGAGGGATTTCCGATCACTTCCTGTTCTGAGCCACATCAGCCATTCATTCAGTCAGTTTTTCAATTTTCAGTGCAGGTTAGATGATGAGGGGGGCTTCACTTGGTTACTTTGGACAAAACCGGGCTAGTCATCTTTAAACAAGGACATTGGGATCTGGTTTAGAAACAATTTGATTTATTTTTGAGGATCAGATGGCTAATACATCATCTTTTATTATTTCAGTTAAGTGTCAGACGGAAAAACACAAAAGAGATGTTTGGTGGATTCTTCAGGAGTGTGGTGAAAAGTGCCGATGAAGTTCTTCTCTCTGGAGTGAAGGTGGGTTCCCTAGAGGCTGCTCTATCATATCTTGCTATGTTTTTTTTTATGATTTATATTTTGTAGAGCACACTATAATGCTCTTTCTACATGTTGATTTAAGTGGACCTATACAATTGGCTATTTTGAAGCTTCTGTGCTATGGGATAACACTTCACTGCCTTCTAACCTCATCTCGCATTACTTTTTTCCTCTGCACAGGAAGTTGATGAGTTCTTTGAGCAAGAAAAAATATTTCTTGTGAATTATTACAATAGGATCAAGGACTCCTGTGCTAAGGCTGACAAGATGACAAGATCCCACAAAAGTTTGTATTCCTTAGAGTTCATTTATTTTCCTTTCTCACTTTGTGTGTGTGGCAAATTCCAATGGACAAGAATGGTGTGTTTTTATTAACGATTAACTCTTGGCAAAGAATACTGTGTAAAGGAGCATGTTTATTCTAAATTTATTCCAAAGAACGCTTCACGTTTTACTTTTGTGCAGGCATTTCCTGTACTGAAGTTGGTTAGCACTGATGTCTCTCCTTGAGCAGGGTAAAGCGGTCTGGTATTTGCGCCCCCCCTTTTAGTTCCAAAAAAGGCAGCACTGGTTTCATCACGCAAGTGCTGCCTGCAGAGGGTGGGCCTGCTGTGTGGGTCCCTCAGCCTGCCAATGCCCTTGCTATAGTCTCAAGTGCCCAACTACACATTTTGTGAGGGCTCTTGGGAGATGTAGTTCTGTCAATAGAATGTGACTCAGGGCTTTTTGCAGAACCCTCCTCCTGGCAACCACAGTATGTTAACTGATTTACTTTCCCAAAGATTTGGCCAAGCAGGTGACACTACTTATTCTGTTTTTAGGTTGGCAGTTTCCTGTTTCACCAGCCCAATTATTGTACCAGTACTCTGCGTTATCGCACAGCTGATTCATCCCATCATGGTGTTTTTAGGAATTTTTCGTTTCACATCGGATCCAGTCACATCTGAGCTTATCCAAGAATCTGTATATTCAGTCTTTAAAGTATAATTGTGCAAACATAGTTGTAAACCCTTTGCCTCTGTGTCTAGCTTTATTTATTTTGCTTGAGCTTGTAAAGTCAGAGTTGCTGCTCTGTCATTTTACCTGACCTCACATGCTATGCCAGCTCTTGGGGGACAGCATCAGTTACCAAAGCCCTGGGTGGTTTACTTTCCTCCTAACTATAGGGAGACGCTATTTAACACTTTTATTGACTCTAAAGTAGGGTATACAATGAATGATTTTGGAACATTCGTTCGACTTTCTAATAGTTGATGATCAAATAGAGGATTAAACGGACAGAGCCAGCAGCCAATAAGCTCTGTTCGGGTGTTAATGGCCGGCGGCCGCTGTCGTAATACAACAAACAGCAGGGATTCCTTGATCAGTGCACTCATAGCATTCATGGAGGAATCTGTTCTATTTTTTATTTTTATTTTTTTTATTCAGCCCACGGGTTGAACAATAAATATAGAGCAGCTTAAGGCCGTGTTCACTCCAGGGCAGTTCGGCCACGCTGAACCGCCGACATGAACTATACCATAAATTGCTATGGGGACCGCCCGATCCGAACCACCTGCCGCCCGAAATGCTCCCTGACCCCTTTTTAATTTTTTCCACACTGATCTGCGAGGTTTCCATATAAGTTTCAATGGAACCGCGGTAATCAGTGCAGTTTTGGGTGTTTTTTCATTGCGTTTCAGCACTAAATCCGCGCTGAAACCGTGTTAAATCGAAACAAAAGTCAAAACGAAATTTTCGAGCGACATTCGTCGTGTCTCTAATGGCATTATGGAACATTTTCTATGAGATTTTTCGTTACAGAATCTACCAGTGTATACCCTGCTTAAGGAGCTTGGAGACTGTAAGGTAAAAAGGTTCATACATTGGTTGCACACCTTGCAATCTATGTTGCCAGTTCAATAATAGGGGTGCTGGTGATCTAATGGCTAGCACCATCGGTCATGGCTAACAAATAGGATGCCAATTGGAGGAGAGAGTAGTATGACAGATGAGCTCTTCATTGGACCGCTTCTTTTTGACTGTCCAGTCAGTCTGGGGATGGGTCCATGACAGGCTGGGCTCAGAAGTGGGTTAAATTATGCTGGCGATCATTTAACCCGGTGTGCTGAGGACATCTAACAGTGACTGTGTGGAAAAAGCTCTGTAATGAAGATGAGTGTCACAGCGAAAGTGTTTTTTTTAATAGGGGTTTTTGGGGGTTTTTTTGTTTTATTTTAAAAGACTCCTGACACTTTTTTTAGGTTTTAGAGTCAGGTTCTGACAAAATGAGTTACGCTACATAAGGGGCAAGTATGCATCAAATACACATGTACATCAAGCCTGCACACTTGCAATATTTTAAGACTATTCAGATTGTTGTGCAAGCCCAAATTGTTTTTTGTTTTTGTTTTTTAAAGTTTTCCTTTTAGGTCAGTATATTGTTTGTGACAATTGTGTGACATGATAGCAGAACAGTTGCCATGTTGTTATGTTTGACACGAAACTCTTCCTTTTTTAAGACTATTCAGATTGTTGTGCAAGCCCAAATTGTTTTTTGTTTTTGTTTTTTAAAGTTTTCCTTTTAGGTCAGTATATTGTTTGTGACAATTGTGTGACATGATAGCAGAACAGTTGTTATGTTTGACACGAAACTCTTCCTAATATAGGAGAGCATTTCTTTAGTCCAAGTCTACCTTCATTTTAATAAGTGACTGTCTGCTAAGAAGAATCCTTTAATATAAGTCCTATTGTAGAAAAAATATTTGAGATGCACAGTGATGTTACCGATATTGGTGCAGCAATATGCTGTAGTTTGGGAAGTGGGTAAACTTTTTTTAAATATTTAATTGTTGCTGACAATGTCTGCTCCATGTATATTTCTGTCCAGTATAACAGTCAAACATTCCATTTACTTATTTTTGCTAAGAAATAGAAAACGGTGAGATTGCTTTATTGCTGCACTGGGAGTTGCTGGATCCTTGCATCTATTGGCTACCAGTAGTGTTATGACCCTCTAATACATTTCTATTATTGCTTTCTTTGCAGATGTTGCTGATGATCACATCCATATTTCAGCTGCCCTGGTCTCTGTAGCAGAGGAGGAGAGCACGCCACTTAGAAAGTAAGTGCAACTGTCAGCTGTGGGTGGAAAAGAATGTGGAGTAGGAAGTCATTTTAATGACTTCCCTTTTGTTGGGTAAACGCATTCCATTCAGCAGAGGCCCATCAGTTCTCACAATGGTCTCATCCAGCAGCACCCGATGTTCAAAGCTCTCTACTGAGCGTAGCAATTTCTGTCATCTAGGACGCACCACAGGAGGGCAGTGTTGTTTTGGTTTAGCGCTTTAAATTTGGCCTGTCGTTGCCATATGAATGCTGTGCGGCAATGGGAACAATCTGTCTAGTTATTTTTTTTGTCTGATTTGGGCTGTTTTATGGTGAAATCAATTGCAAGGCACAAAATTACCGAAATATATGTGGGAAGAACACAAGTTTGTCTCCATTCTGCAAGTTCAAACAGATTTGATCACTTGCAGTTCTGTAACGGTTGAACAGCCAGATTCAGTGCAAGGGGAACAGATTATGTACATTTTAGATGTTGGGATTAGGGGTTACATTTTAAGGGTTAAAGCTGATCTCAGGCATACAGAAATGACACAAATTGCAGCTCTTGACTCATTCATATAGTGTGTGTGTGTGTGTGTGTGTGTGTGTGGCAGTAGTAGGTATCTAAATGCGATTTGGTATCAGTTTCTATCAGTCCCTGCACAGCAAAGCTCAAACTGGGTGATGGGGGAAGCAACAAAAGGAGCCAATCAGTTGTGCTACAGTGCAAGGAGCATGCTTTTTAGTGTTAGGGAAAAGTTAAGGGGTTTCTTTTGAAGTTAGGTTAAGATGTGTCTAAAGCCAAAGTTTATTAGTTTTGAATAATGTAGGCAATTAACACTGATGTCAGGTTTTTTTCAGCTTGTGCCCCATCAGGGGAGGGTTTCCCTTTACCTCCTGTCCTACACAGCAGGAAATAGGAGGTGATCTCTTCTAAGTGAGGGCATATCCCCTTATGGATAGTTGTCCCCAAAACAGGTCACCGTGCCAGGGGATGAGGGGAATTTTCCCAATAGGTAAACAAGTCAGGGGTCAGCTGAGTGATGGGTTGAGTGTTGTAATTAATGCTAAGGACGTTCATTTATTATATTAATTTATGAAAACAGCCTGAGTAAAAAAAATCCTGTCCCCAATTAGCAGTTACATAGAAGGACCTTTGCTCTCTGTAGGGAATTTTTTTTTTTTTTCCAGAGGTCTAACCAGCCCCCTGTTAAGTCAGACCTATAGCGCTATAAAAGCAATATGTGATCAGTGCCAGTAAATAAATGCAAATAAGAGCTACTAGGCACTCGAGATAAAAATAAATATCTAAAACATGTATAACAATCATGTTCCGAGCTGAATAAATATATACAATTCAGTTAAATATGTGATATAACCATAAGATATATAGGTTTATGCTTTAAAAAATATATTCAAAAGATAAAATCAAAACATGAAAAGATGAGAACAGAGTGATAAAAAACAAAGTCCAATGTGCAACAATTATAATCGTGCGAACAAATGCAGGGGGTAGTCCACTACTAGAAAGATTCAAACTTCCAAGTAAGCTGTTGCCACAGAATCCTGACAGACCTTCATTCACTGGGGGTTATATCACCCAGTGAATGCAAAAATTAGAACAGTGCTCACCTGTGGAGATAGACCCACAGAAATAGGTCTCAAAGCGCATTTCCCTTCTTAATAGGGGAGGGAAGCCCGTATGACTGAAGACTTAGATAACCTCCTCAGCTCGCAAATATCATCATTTGAAAGGGAGACAAAATATAAAGAGAACATTGTGCGTATCGTCCAAAAAATACAATTTATTGAATAAAAGCCGGTACTCACAATGTCACAGGTGACAAAAGGCATACAACAAATATCCAACGGACACCACAGTACAAATCTATGCGTGCAATGGGACTCCCGTCCATTCGGCTCAGCTGAGAGCGACGTCGAATGCTCAGTCCTACGTACGTTACGTCTATAGCTCTATAATCCGCAAAGGTCATGTTCCCTGCTGAATGGAGAGCTGTGTTTTGTGAGTCAGACCTCTGCAGAGAGACAGTGGCTTCATTAAACTTTCCTTCTCTGCAGCATGCTGGCTGGGACACAATTTACTATTCAGACTATGGCTTCTTAAGAAAGAAAACAAACTAAGGCATTGAACACTTGTTGTTTTGATGGAATGCATTTAGCTAATTTAGGATGAAGGTTCACTTGAGCTATAATGTCTGTCATTGTCACAGCTCACCACTGTCAGTGTATATTGGTCTGTTTTTATGTCCAGCTTTTCATATTTATTATAAGAGATTGTTTCTGTAAGTGAGTAATATATACAGTGACCAATAAGGATGGTCTAAGACTGGCAGGTATTACTGGAACAATATACGACTTGGGGGAATTCCAGGGTAATACAAGGTTATGTTTGTGGTACATCAAGCCGTGCCCACCTTTTTGAAGGAATCCTCTAATTCTATGCAAGCTGTACTTTGAACGAGTGAGGTTTTTACATTAGGAAAAGTACAATATATTGCAGAAATATGGATTACTTCAGCAGTTTTGCACTCAAATACACCTTCCACACATGAAGCATATGGTAAATCCAGCACATACTGGCTCTTGGCACTTGTGGTCAAGGACTCGGACGTTCTTTGCTTGTTGCTTTACTGGTGTTGATCCTCCTCATCCTCTGGACATGTACTAGCAACATGGAGTAACGTTTGCCCCATATGACCTTTTACATTTTGGAATCTGTGAATTCAACCTCTTATTGAACTTGTGTTATGAACTATGTCTTGATTTTTGCTTATTTTTAATTTGGGGTATTAACAGATTCTGAAAGACAGGCTGCTAAGGTGTAAATGGAGGTAGAATTCACAGCAGTGTGTCAGAGCACTTGGAGACAACCACTTAAATTCCATTTGTCCTTTATACAGACTTGGTGTGTAAATGAAATAAGGAACCTGACTAGTTTCTATGAAAAGAGCATTTTTCTGGTGGCACACTTTTCATACACTTTTTCTTAATAGTGTATTTCAGAGTGCCCAGAAATATAGCGGACGACGCATATTGGCAGACACTATGCCTGCTCTGCCACAGAAGGCTGAATTTAAATGCAAATTTCAACTTCTTTTTTTTTTTGTAGTAATGCCATGCGCCACTCCAAAAGCATCCTGCCTTATAATCTTCCTTTATTGGGCCTTACTGTGAAAAATGGTCTGTTAACCCAACCAGGGATTGTATAGTGCTGGGCCATGCTAGAATTGTAAAGGAAAAGCCAAGATTCACATTAAATATTTATCTGAAATAATTCAGATAAATAAAGTTTTAAGAGGTTTTCACTTTGGGATCATACATACCTATCTCTTCTAATGGCTTGTTAAGGCAGCTGATTGTGTATAGACTACCAACACACTAGAGCAAGCAGGCAAATGTACTTCTCTCCCCCCCCCCAATGCAGTGCACCATAATATATGTATGATGACTTTTACTGCAACCCAATGGTGTGAATCCAGCCTCACTACATGTTAAAGTTTAAATTGCTAAGGCTTCTCCTACCCACAGTTCGATCGCCCGCATTGGAACGAGCGGTACTGCAATGTCATGTGTTCCATTGCAGTGCAATTTGGGTCATGACTTAATGACCAAGGACAAATGTGGGTCCTAAGGTTACACAGGTTGAGAACCACTGGTCTAGTGTATATATTCAATGTGTGTAACCAGATAAAAAGCTGAGAGGTTAAGCACCGTGTGATTGCCCACGGGAAATACAAAGTCCGGAGCAGAGTAAATAAATGAGTGCTGAGAACTTTGTGTAGACGTGTCCTTTTGTGTAAAAAAAAAAGTGTAGACCTGTTCTTTGTGAAAAATGTAACTACTAGACCAATCATGCGTCCATTCTAATAGCAGTCATTGCAATCAATTACAGCTGTTTTCTATTTACAAGTCTAGATTTTTTTTGTATACTGCATATAAATTTGATCAAATATTAACGTAAATTATCTAATCAATATTTGTTAGTTTTAAAAACCATAGTATTGAGTGCTAAAATATATTGAGAAACTTCCTTTTTAAAGAACGTTGGGGGGAAAAACTTGCCTTGCAGTGGAGCTACCCCTGCACTGCAAGGTTTGTGTTCATTTTGTCTAGGGGGCTTTAATAAAGCCGAGATACTCACCTGATTCTTGGTGCTGAACCAGTCAGTGCTCACCTCTCATCCCCCTCTGCTCCATCTGTGCAGTATCCTTCAGTGTCCTCCCCTCTAATGCTAATCAATGGACCAGCCTTAGATGTGAAGACATCAGCGATCCTTGGACTGTAGGAGCCCAGGGGAGGGTAAACTGCAGGGACCTATCTAGCATCGCAGCGGGAACGAGGATCAGGTAAGTATATCTGCTTTTATTTGAGCCCCCTAAACAAACCGTGTGTGTGTTAAGCTGGCCATACACCTTACAACCATCGCAATACTTCTGTCTTGCGATGGTTGTAAGGTAATTTAAAAAAAAGTACGACAGGCAGATCGTACTTGCGATAATAGCAAGCCCGCCCCTCTGAGGGGCGGGCTTCCGATGACGGCAAGCTGAACGGGCAGTGTGCGCTTGCGCACACCGGCCCGTGTCTTATGAGCACGCCACAAGCCAGCCCAAAATCGTACGATTTTCGGCTGGTTTTCAAACATGCTCGTCAGACAGTAGAAACGGTCGCACGCCTTCCATACACCTGCCGATTATGGTACGATTGCGGGATTTCCAGCGATTATTATCGTATGATAATCCCAAGGTGTATGGGCACCTTTACATAGATACATATATGATGTGTTGGCTTTTCAGGTAAGGACAGGTGGGCACACTTAGTTCAATTAATGTTTTCAGTGACTCGTTATAATATTTTCAATGTGTTTTCTTTCCAGGTACTTACTTAAACTCGCAGAGTTATTTGAAAAGCTCCGAGTAAGTTTATTTTCTTTCACCATTTTCTTTGCATGATTCGAAGTGTGTCCAATTGTGTTTTTTGTAATATTTGTTTGTGGTCACAATCTGTCTACAGAAAATAGAAGCAAGAGTGTCATCAGATGAAGACTTGAAACTTTCCGAGCTATTAAGATACTACATGCTTAATATAGAGGCGGCTAAGGTAATTTAATCTCTAGTCCGGATTGTTTCAGTAATGGTAACTAATAAAAATTGCAGGCTAATAATGAAGACTAAAACAAATGAATATCTTTGTATGTTCAATTCCTGATTACAGGACCTTTTGCACAGGAGGACAAAGAGCCTGGGGGAATATGAAAATTCAAATAAAGCCCTCGATAAAGCTCGGTTAAAAAGCAGAGACGTGAAGCCAGCCGAATTGCATCAGCAGGAGTGCTGCCAGAAATTTGAGAAGCTCTCAGAGTCTGGAAAGCAAGGTAGACAAGTGCTTCAGTTTTTACATCCTACCTCACTCTGCATACTTCGCTAACTCTGTCATTTTGTGACGTTTACGTTCTCCCAGTCCTGGGTTCTGGCAGGAAGCATGTAGGAAAAGAAGTGCACTGATCATTTTTCTGCATAGCGTGACGTTTTATCTTTTTCCCCTCTTTGGCAGAGTTGGTGAAGGTACTTTTAGTAGTTAACAAGTACACATAGTCATCAGTGACGAGTGATTGTGATGCACGTTAGTAGATCATATTATTTTCTGGGTTTTTGTTGCTCTGGAAAAGCACAAACCGGACATGGCACAGAGAACATGTCAACACATTCGGTCCAGCTCATTAGGCAATGACGCAGGTGTTGCGTGCCATAGTGCCATCATTTTTTATTCTAAGCTTTGAAAATGCTGAAAAGAACAGGCATTTGCCTAAAGTCATTGTTTTATTTAATGGTTAGAGAATCAATTTCCCTTCCCTTTTTACATGCTTTACTGTACTAGAATTATTTTTTCCTCTCCTAGTGAATGCAGCTTAGGATCCATGTATGGGGTTTGAATTGTTTGCACTGTTTCTTTATGGCAGGGAGCTGCTGCTTCTCTGGAAAAGTCTTTTTCTTTTTCTTTCTTATGCTGAAAGTGGATTATCACTTTAATGTATAGCTGTGCTTTGTCCTGCTCCACTGTAACAGAAGCAGAACACTCTTGGTCCATGGAGGCCTCATTTAATATTTGCAGTGATGCCAAACCTGACTTAACATTGGTGTGCTGATGGGCAATACAGTACTGGATTCATCTGACTACAAGTTGGAGACCTGTAGTTAGAACTGCCTTGTTCTCTTGGAAATGCTAATAAAAGAATTCATGAAGTAAGCTTGGTATTTTTATTTTTTTCCAAAGATGCAGTTACACTTTAGGGCCTCACTTACACGGCCACATTCGGCCCAGGTCAGCACATTTTTACGGCAGGATTTTCTTGTTGCTCTGGAAAGAACTGAACCAGATATGACCGGGAGAAAACAATGACAAGTCATTAGACAATGATGCAGGTTCATGTGCCATTTTTTATTTTCAGCTTCGTAAACGCCGTTGTCTCTCATTGCCAAAAACAGTCATTTTGGCTATAGCAGATGTTGCATCTTAGGAAATAGAGCCTAAGGTCATTGTTTTATGCAAAGGTTACAGAATCAGAATCATTTTTTTTTTTTTTTTTTAACATGCTTACTAGTCTACATGCTTTTAATTTTTTATTTTCCTCCTAGTGATGGCCAAGTGTTTCCAATTAGCTGCGGAAACTCGGGGTGTAGAAATCATACATAGCCTGAGAGGCTCCACAGCTGCTTTTACATCACACAGTGATTGCCCATGGTCAAGGACAAATGGGCGACCATGTGTGCGCAAACAGTCTACATACAGGCCCGCTCATCTGTCCCTAGCCTCATGTAATTGCATGCAGTCTCGGACAGTGTCAGCTTGTCATTGATTTGTACAGGCTTCCTTGGTGTACGGCTATGACCGACCATGTGAATGAGGCTAAATGTACCAAAGCTTTAAAGGGGGTGACTGGCTCATAAATGTCTGAGAACATCTTCAGTACTAAATAGGACGGCAGTATGGTGGCATTGGAGCAGAATGGGCAGTGGTGTCTGTTTTTGCTTTGTTTTTTTAAATGGTTATTTTCACTAATAAAGGATAATGAAAGAGACCGAAGTTCAAAACGAATCCTGTTAATGGAATATAGTGAAAACCGTGCAATCCGGAGGTCAGAAAGAACCAGTTTCTACAGGGCTAAAAGGGGACACCAATTTGTTATGCTGAGAAGTCAGCGCCTGGTGTGCTTACGGCCTAACCTACATAGTTTTAAAGAAACACAAGTATCCCAGCCAAATGTTCAGCATCTGACCCCAGTATTTTTGTTGTTGTTACCTTGGAACCCTGAGAAAGGGAGTACTGTGGCTCCATTAGAAAATCTCCAAGCATTACTATGGTTAGTGCTTTCAGATGCAAGATTGGTGCACCGTACCATGTATAATTTCACACTCTTGTCCCCTTCCCATGCTTGACCCATTCTGAACCCAGTTGTTGTGATTATAATCGTACAACAAAATTAAACGTATGGTTTTGATTAAATCTGTTTTTGATTTGGGTAGTAAATGGCAAACATTGCCATAAAGTGGGCACAAAGAGCTGCCCACATTTATAGAAAACTTCATGAGTGGCCACTGAGCCCAAAACCCAATCATTGTTGTAGGCACAAACCTATCTGTTCTGAAAGTCAGCCCAAGCCTGGATTCGGTGGGCGGAGCTTGACTTCAGAAGCAAAATTCACTGCTTACATAAGGTGTGTTGGGTTTGTTGTACACTGACACATATCTAAAAGTGTTTTAGAGCTTGTGTAGAACATCGGAATTCTTCAGGTGCAATTAACTATTTTTTTAGAGGTCCGTTTTGAGATGCTTCTTTGTTACTACAGAAGTGATTTTCACCTGCATCAGATCTCCTTTTGTACCTGCACTACACCGCATGACACCCGGGGTGCGTGGTCCTGTACAATGCAGGCAGCGATTGCCGCAGAGCTCCATAGAATTCAATGGGGTGACATCCGGCAATCGCAGAAAAAAAAGGTACAAGTACCTTTTTTTTATTTTTGGTGATACACGACGCGCGGCTGTTTTAGCCGCAATTGTGTTCGGAAGCATGAGAAAAATCGCGGCGGGAATCGCAACCCGCTGGCGCGACTGAGGTGCCATTAGAAAATAATGCCACCCACAGCGTGATCGGTTCACACCTCGGTGACTCCTGACCGCACGGCATCGTGCACGATTCCTGTACGGTGCAGTGTCGCCTATGTGTGAACCTAGCCTTATGCTGCTTTTGCATGTCTATTGACTTGCAGGAGTAGAAAAGCTGCTGTGATACATATGCACGTGTAAACTAGTCTTTGTCATGGTTTTCAAATGAATTAACTGCAACAAAGTGTTCTTGCACAGTTATAGTGTAAATTTTCAGTCATGTTTGCCATTCTTGTATTTTGTAGTTGACAATAACTTGTAAAATTTGCTCTACAAATACTTGAGCATAGTTCGTTATAAACTAGCGAGTATCTAATGTTTATAATTAGTAAATCTATAATCAGTTCAGCATTCAATACAAACACACATGTATTGTAAGGAATACCCAGCCTTCTACTGCCGTCTATGAAAAGTAAGAAAAAGGAAAGCGCTTTGTATCATGCAGTGCAGCTTGACCTACAATCCTGTTCAACACTGAGGACACAGGAGTCCCCTGCTGCTCTAATATTCTGAAAATGTAAGGGTTACATTTTGTGTGCATTTTATTGATGTCTCACTATGACCTTGCTTGTTTTGCAGAGCTTATGAGCTTCAAGAAGAAGAGAGTGTGTGCCTTTCGGAAAAATCTTGTGGAAATGACAGAACTAGAAATTAAGCATGCCAAGGTTTGTGTCACTACCACCCATATAATGCCTTCTTTTCTTAAACTCTACTGTCACACAACAATGTAAAATATCACAGCAAAGATCTAGAGCCGCCTCCTAGTGGAGCGACTAGTAGGCTTAAAGTGACATTAAACCCTCAGATTTTTTAACATAAAACAATACTGTAATGTGTGCCTTACTGTAATCCATGGCAGTTTCCCTTCTCTTTGCTGCTCTTCCTTTTAAATCCGTATCTGTTCTCATGCTGGGCAGAACTTCTGTTTTGCAGCAGACTGCCTTGTCTCTGAAATAGATACATGGTGTCTGTGTGTAGGTTTGCAACCTGAGCCAGCACTACAGGAAGAGGCACTCAGCTGCAAAGGGAAGTTCTCCCCAAGCATGAGAAGACATGAGGATTTAAAAAGGAAGAGCAGCAAAGAGAAGGGAAACTACCATGGATTACAGTAAGGCACACATTACAGTATTGGTTTATGTTAAAAGATCTGAGGGTTTAATGTCACTTTAAGCACTAACATGAAGCTTGTTGAAAGCCTGCTAGCTGCTTGTTTAAACGGACAGTCAGCACTCCCCTTTAAGTGCATCTTAACCCAAGAATAGAACCTAATATATTGCAGCTCACCAATCCTTAGAAGTGGTGGCAGCATTAGTTTTTTCTTTTTTCCGGCCTCCCTTGTTTTTTTCCCTTTTTTATTAGGTGATCTTGCCAGTAACACACTTTCTGGGTGACCACTCTTTCTCACTGTAATGTATCTGTAGAGGAGCAGCATTGTCACCCCAGGACAGGAAGTATGTTGGAACTCCTCTCCCTTTCCACATCTTCATAACACGTGAGGTATTTAGAAGGTTAGAGAAGTAATGCATAGAACAGCACTGTATTTCTGTCCGGACCACCAGATACATTTTCATCTTATTAAACAGATGTATCAAAATGATTTCAATGGCCATACTAAAGTTTTATTTAGAGACTTCAACAAAGCTTTACAAATGCTTTCTGTACACACTGCTTTTAAACATGCTGAAGCCTGTGTGTACAAAGCTTTAGTCTTAGTAGGTGAAGAGGTATTAACCAAATTCTAAGGTGGTAATCAAGGGAGATGTTTTCTTCTACCAAAAAAATAAAAATCATAAAATGTGTTTTTTTATATGCTAGACATTGTAAAAGTTAATGCTCTAGACAGCCTAGGTCTTCCAACACTCGTGTCAGAATAGTATAGGAGTTGCAGACTGACACTTGGTTCATACAGGTGGACCGGTACAAGTTAGTTTACAAGTCTGTCCCATCGGTATATGGAAAAAAAATGGGCATGGACATGTGTATTAGTGGAATAACATTGTGGGCTCTAAAATTGCCACCTGAAGGGGAGATATTTCATAATTTTGTCCGTCTCTTGACGGCACTTAAGTACCAGTTTTTCTTAACTTACTCCTTTGTCAGGCATGTTGGGTATAGCTGGAGATGTCAATTCAGCTGTGATCTGCAGCACTATGTTTCTTGATTTATACATCACAGGATATAGGGAGTTCATTCTGGAACCCATGGGTTATACAGCTACCTGCAGGTGATTGGACACTGGCAAATCAAAGCTGTAAAGACAGCCCTGTATAACTCCTCCCACTCCCAGCCTGCTGAGTTTTTTGGAGGGGGGGGGGATGGGGGGGGTTTGCCTGTCCTTGGGTGACGGATGTCTGTCTCCTCTCTAAGAGGAGCATATCTTTTTCTGCTCTTTATCTAAAAGCCAATGGTAGAAAAAGCAGACACTAGCAGGTTTCCCTAAGCTGCTGATGTACACCTTGCACATATCAGCAGCTATCCGGATTGGTTATTTCCTTGGTTGAGCCTTGATGGGTCATACCTGGACCCCACCAGAAGGAAGATGCGGGGTTGGCCTGAAATGTGCTCGGGCACTGGCTGCTGCTCCTCATCTAAGTTTCTCATCCAAGGTACAGGTAAGCCAGGACCTAGATCCTGCATGGTGCCCAGTGCATCTGCTCCTGTATCTGAAATGGTTAACATGGGCCTTTTAGTGGGGACTGCTGCCCCTTTTTTAAATGGGCAGCATTATGGCTTTCCATTAGCGGCCTAGGGGCTGATTATGCACCTGCATAGCCTCCCTCTGGCGTCCTGTACTGCACATTGCACCCTTTATTTTCTTTCTTCTGGCCACATACTGCAGCTTTATACTTTTTTACTGTTTCTGGGTCACTGCGGACAGTTTCTGCCTGCAGGTGTCTGTACACAAGGCACCTGCTGAGTACCTGGGGATTACAAGCAGGATCATATACGCAGGGATGTATGGCTAGGCAGCCTGGCAACAGTTCTCGGGAAGGTTGTGCTAACTTTCTGAAGGCACTGTTTCTGTAAGCTCCTATTTCCCAGGACCACCTGCCTCCTGGATCCTCCTCAGCACCCTTCAGGGCACCCTTCTCTACACTGCTATCTTGAGAGGAGTTTAATTCTGTAATCACTGAATTTATGGGGAAAATGTCTGACCCCCTGGAGTCCTCGTACTGCGGGGGTACAAGCGGGCCCTGTCCAAGTTCCTCTCCATACTTCCCCGTCTGCTTTTGCACTCCCTGGGTGAAAAAAAAACAAGCCGTTACCAGTTTGGTGGGCTCTGGAAGAGGATTGGTCTCCTTAGCTCGAGAACACTTTCTGTCCTTGTGGACATGGAATGTACTTGTTTTCAGTTAGAGCCACTTGCATCAGTCTTGCCCAAGGTGACTGGGGTCACTCTGAAAATGTGTTTTACTCCTCCCAAACAGTTTTCTTACCAATACCATATTCAGGAGGGTTTCCTTTAAAGCTGCTCTCCTGGTATAAATATTTTATATATACTTACAATGCTCCAGCTTGGCCCAATGTAAGTATATATATAGATATAGATCGATATCTATATATATATATATATATATAGATATCGATCTATATCTATATATATACTTACATTGGGCCAAGCTGGAGCATTGTAAGTATATATAAAATATAAAGATGTATAGATATAGATCTATATCTATATATCTTTATTTTATCTTGTAGGACCATGAGTATTCTGTGACAGACTGCAGTACCCGGAGCTACTACAAGGGCCTTTTACACCCCTACATTCCTGAAAGCTAGGAAATGATTCTCCTCAAAAATCTACCGTAGCACCTGGAAGACTTAATTTTGCTTGGTGCAAAGAAATTCCATCTTGGGAAATACTCTGTGGGAGGCATCTTCATATAGGTTCACATATATGTTTCCTGCAGTCTAGCTTAGACCACCATTTATCCTTCAGTACCATCAAAGGTCAAAATTCTGCCTGGCAATTTTTTCAGAGACTGCTTGCCTCTTACTCACTATTGAAGGCTAATGTGCGGTGGGTTGCTGAGGTTGTCCCACCCTATATGCACTCTGGTGGTTCTGTGAGACCTTAGATCTGTTAGCTCTGCAGAGGCCACCTTTTTGAACTTTCCAAGATATCTCTCTGACGCTATTCAAGGTTGCTAGTCAAGGTTGCCTTTCTCATTGCCATCACTTCTACTAGGTGTGTTTTCTGTGTTGGAAGCCTTGACTTTTTTAAAGGGCTTTTTCTGGTTATCCACAAGGATAAGGTAGTTATGAGACCTAAGGCCTGTTTTCTTCGGAAGGTTCCTAAGGTCTCTGCCTTCCACCTTAACTACAACGTGTTTCAATCCTTATGACGTGCATTTGCTAGTTGGATTTGTTGATCTGTTACACAGGCCTATGAGATGAGGGTAACAGTCCCCCCCCCCTACTTTCTGGTCAAAGCTCACTATAGCAGAAGAGTTAATGTTTCATGGGCTGCCACCTGGTCCTCTGTTCACACTTTGCCAGCTTTTACTAGGTGTCCTACGATGTACAATCAAGAAAACAGGATTTTTGTCTAACCTGTCAAATCCATTTCTTGGAGTACATCACAGGATAACCCCGCATCCCCTCCACCCCCCGCGCTTTTCTCTTGTACTGCTAGCTACAAAACCACGACATGCTTGGGAATACGTGGAGATGCTGCACAGGGCTGTCCTTACAGCTTTGACTTGTCATTGTCCAGTCACCTGATGGTAGCTGCATAACTCATTGGTTTCAGAATTTAACTGCCTGTGTCCTATGATGTACTTCATGAAACCGTTTACAGGAAAGACAACAACAAAAATCCTGTTTTATCTTCTATTGTGCAACTGCGGGCTTTTAAGGAAGATATTTTATCACAGCCAGTAGACTACTTCAATGTTGATGACAAAGGCCCAGTTGTCCATGCTTGCTGAATAAGCAGGCATATAATATGTTTAGTTGAAATAAAATATTCAACTGTTCTCTCTGAGTGTCATATGACCTGTGTCCCATCTACTCTAATAATGTCCATTTTTTTTTTCTACATTTCCTAATTTCCTAATTGCATTTCATTGTGCTATCAGACAAGCTGGTATCATAAATGTATTCATTATACATATACTTCTTTGATGTAATGTCTGTGTGTAACTAGCACCTAGCACTGTCCTTTTTTTTTTTTTCTCTGATTCTCACAGAATAACATATCATTATTACAAAGCTGCATTGACCTATTCAAGAACAGCTAAACCTAATGGGATGATTTGACCTGAAAGCACTGATTGCACTTCGGAAAGGCTGAGATACATCAGCGAGAAGAGCAGCTGCATTTCCACTCAATCTTAAAAAGATAAGATTATCATGATCTAAAATAGATATATTTTGTTAATAACTATGGAAAGGTTTAAATGTATTTGTCTCGATTTAAAAAATATATATATTTAATCTTTTTGGTAAGAAGCTTCAGCATCTATTTTCAAATTGATTTCTTATTTGAAGAATTTTTGTCAAAATAAAATTGCTTTATTGTATATATTAATAGAAATGCATACACTGTAGTTTGAGGGTTTTTTTTCCTATACGTTGTGTTAACATCTGTGCCGAAAAATGAAATAAAACATAATTAGAAGTATGGTTACAGTAATAATAAACTGCATAGTGGTAGTGTGCTGCCTAAAAAAAAAAAAAATACACAGAGCACAAACCATGTCGCCAAATTCCTGTGGTACAGAGGAACATGGTAGTTAAAGGAGAACTATGGGGTCATGGCTACAGCTCGCGGTATACTGAGATGGGTTAATTTTGTAACTGCCCAGAGTTCTCTTTTACAGAATCAGATTAAGAACGTCTCCCTCTATAAAAGTCACTGCCAGGCAGATGGCAATATTAAAACGGTCACTTGCTTTGAAAGCCGAGGATAGTTTTGATGACTTTGCAGGAAGAAATATATCTTGTAGGGATCATTTGTCTGTGCAGTCAATGGTATGGGCTCACTTTTTGTCCCCAGTAAAGTGCATTGCCATATAAAGCAAATGTACCATGCAAATAAAAACAAATGAAAGCTCGGTGGAGGAATAAATGACATGCAGTCAACAGTCCACATATGTCGGAGTTTCTGTTCAGCCATCTGGCTCGCATTAAGAAAGTATCAAAGAAAGAAGTGAAACAGTGCATCTTGTGTGTCCACTCCAGCACAAAGACAAAACTCTTAACTGTAGACTAGTGTATTTTATGCTGTTATTTGGGGCTCCTGCACACAGCCTGTCATATGATGACCCCTCTGTCTGGTAGAGGCATTTCAGCTGATTTGGTGGGGGATCACTATCTCCTAAAGCTTCTGCATAAGCCATTTGCATGACAGGTAAAAAGCAGAATAAGCCCCCTATACCCTCAATCTATACAAGTGTCTCCTCACAGATACCTCTAATAATTGATGACATGAAACTGGTTTATAACAGCCTGCGTACTTTTTGGCTGCCTGGTTAAACGCTCTTCTACAGCTGCTACAGGACCAAGTTGTTGCTGACAGCCAGTTTCAGCCTATGTAAACTATCACCTCACCATTGTACTTGATTCACTATCCAGTGAGCAGGTAGTTGACACCGTATGTTGTATAGCTTAACAAGGGAATATTAAAGTCATCTTCCTGAGTGTGCAAATTTAGTAGAATTTTTTGTTTGTTTTTTTAAACAGGCTGGGGGGAGTGATGGTTATGTTCTTGGCCATCTGGGTGCCAGTAGATGGAGAGTGATAATTACCTTGTCAGGTTAACTGGGCAGTTAACCCTCTGAACTCACATGTACCCCTTTTACCATGTGCTTTTGCAATTCTTTAAAAAAGAATGGCTGTATTACTTGCCGGCCGTGCCCAGACAGGAATGTAACAGAGTTTACACTGTTAGCTTCTTCAAAGAAGCAAAAGTTCTTCATTTCTAAATAAGAGATTCAGCTTAATATATTTTTTTTTATCTTCTGCTCTTCCATTCAGTGCAAAGTTATGATCGCTTAAAAGTCCAATCTGATGTTTGTAAGAGTCATTGGCCATCAAAAAAAAAAGTGGCTCCTCATATACTTGGTAGTGTTAATGTCAAATGAAACCCCTGAGCTGCTAAATACATTTAACAATAAAATTAAAAATGATTAGATACCAAATATGGTCTAATGTAGCATTTTGGCCTTGGCAATTAGGTGTGTTTGGAGTCTAACTGGTATCTTTTTATCCATTAGTGTAACCACTTTTTATGAAAGTGACTCCATTACAGGAGTTATGAAATATGAATTAAGAGTTGAGAATTTAAGTATGAAAGTTCCAGTTTTTGGTCAAAAACCAAACGCAAAAGATGTTCATTACTCACTAGAGTATTTATGACAGGCCCATTTACAACAGGGCCTCACCAGAAGCCTTTTAAGGCCCCAAGCTAGTTGAGGTTTGTTTGGCATCTCTCCACTCCCTGCTAACTTACCGGTTTTGTTTTTCTTAACCACTTTGGAGAAAATGAGATTGGCCCAGTGTTCAGTACTACTCCCATTCGCTCCACACAGTTTGGGCTTGGTCAGACTTTGGAGTTTACTTATCCCACTTAACCTTACTTTTGGCTCATACCTATAAGAGTGGCCAATAGAATAGCGCAGTAGAGGAAAGGGCAGGGCTGTGTTCTTCCTCAGGACAGCTGGTCTAAATTTGCACACTACATTGCACTGATATTTGGGTTGTTAATAGGAGAGCTAAAAAAAATGTCCCTGGTATAGCTTAGTAGCCAAGGTTTATCTACTTTTACTTCATACCTGAAGTGTGATAAAAGGGCTCCCAAGACTATTGTAAGCATGAATGCACAGTACATTATGTCCTTGTTCCCCACAAATAAAAAAAATAGTTAAATGGAATGGTTAAAATTGCCATTTACGTGCATTAGTTTGCGGATGTAAAAGTGAATACAGTCTTGCTTTCACTAACAGCAGCTTTATAAACTGTCACTGTGCCTCTGACAAATGTGATGCATATCATCAGCTTTGTCAATAGATCATACTTCTCTTATAGCAAAGGTAATAGATGTTTTGAGACTTTTGTAGTTCAAGTTTTGACTCTTAAAAAAATTCCACTTCTGCTAAATACAATTAAATATATCCCTTATGAATGAATGTGCATACAACATATCTGAGCAGAACTCTATAATTACATATTGAATGGTTTCATGATTTTTGTACTGCAAAAGTAACTATTTTTGCATTTTATAGCATCTAAAGACATTTACAGCCTTTGTCATAAAACATATAAAATGGTCTGTAATTCCTGAGATTGGGTGCTGTATAGTAGTGGTCTGGCAGCCAGGGAAAACTGTCATCCTGTGTGGTCTGGAGCGATGGAATGCTGTGCTTTGCTCAGTTTAATGCAGGAACATGAAATGCACAATAGGATCATTTTATTGAATGAGGTAGGAGTGCAGTGATTCCCCCTGTCGTATTTATTTCTATTGCTGCAAAAACGAACACTAATAAACCATTGCATAGTCTTGTGAAGGACAGTGTAGTTGAGGTTGACACTACACTTGGGGCTCTTCTCATGGCAAAAACATTTGAATAATCTGGAAATGTTTTGTGTAAAGTGGGCCACAGACATTCCATTCCAGTTTGATTATGCAATAGTTGTAGAGTGGATAAGAGTTAGCATTCTTGTCTGAGATTTTTCCTCAATTCCTGGCCCTGTGACACCAAGACAAGAAATGGGGGAGCAGTTATCTTCATGGCAGAAAGTTCTAAAAACTTAATGTGTTTTTTGTTTGTATCTTCATTAACGAGAAATTACATCACTGCACGTCCTGACAAAAAGGAAGTAATGGGAAATCTCTTGAGTAGGGATGCAGGCAGGAATTAAATCCTAATAGAGGATCTAGCCCTTCCCTATGCTATCCCCCCAAAAATAAATTTTTGTCTGGCGTTGGCTTTTGAAGGCTGAACTCCACACCAACAGATACATTCACATATGAGAACCGTTTTACCTGACAAAGGATTTGTAATTCTGTCCAGCCAGACTTAAAATGCGCATACCACTGCCACACTGCACAGCCCTGTCTGGCAGGGGAGGAGACCTGCGCTTTCTAACTGGCAGTTAAGTAAGACATACAGATCTTGTTCCTCCCCCACTCTCTGACTGGACAGTGAAAGGAGGAGCTGCAGCTTGATTAACTCTTCTGTCACTCAATCCTCCTATCGGCATACTCCTTTTTAGTACATGAGCACTGGAACACAAGTGATTGGTTCCTTGTGCTACTTATGCCTATCTAAGCTAATACAGCTCTGTGTAGAGGTGAACAGTACAAGATGGTAAACTAGAGGCAGTCTATTACATGTGGCCAGATTACACTGCACAGTAAAGGGAACCTAGTGTGATTTTTTTTTTTTTTTTCCCTTCCACACTTTTTTTTTTTTTTTTTTTTTTTTTTTTTTTTTTTTTTTTTCCCTTCCACACCCCTTACTGCTCTTGTGTGTGTGGATAATACTGTACACTTTTTAGCTGCAAAGGAGTTCCTGAGCCTCGAGTCCTTGTGCACATGGAGGAGGGGGCCCTACAAATAACCTTCCCACCCAGATGGAACAAGTTGTGTTTACTTGTACTTGCAGTCAGAATAAAGCTAGCTATACACCTATAGGTTATCTGCAGATTTTCTGTGGTCAGATGGAAAAAGTGCAACAGATTCCTCCATCTATGTTATACTGTGTGGATAGAGGAATCTCCCACTGGGCCAAGCTTCAGTATCTTGCTAGTCGGCCCCGTTGGCTGTCAAAATACCTGAACAATCAAATTGGATGCAGGCATTGCTCAGGTATTTTGAGAGCCTGCAGGGCCAACTGGCAAGATACTGAAGCTTGGCCCAGCGGGAGATTCCTCCAGCCACACAGTTTAGTGTAGATGGAGGAATCTGTTGCACTTTTTCCATCTGACCACAGAAAATCTGCAGATAATCTATAGGTGTATGGCCAGATTTACTCTACACAGACACACGTACCAAGTGCTGGCTCATGATTGAGTGTGCACAGCATGGGGTCAGGCTCTGCAGCTCATGTTTTCTAATCCAGATAAAACTGGGTCTATGGACGTTGTATGCACCACATAGCACAAGGCAGCAGTGTTTAACTCCTCCTATGGCCCAGAGTAGCATGGGAGAAGTCAGGGAGTGTAGTATGGATGTGGGCAGTGCAGGGGAGTTTAATCAGTGGATTGAAAAGAATCAGAGCTATTCTGTATTCTAGTGGGAAAATGAGGGCCCGCTCTGGGAAGATGTAATACACCCACTATGTGGCTTTCCCTTTTGTGGGGAAAGCCAGGATTTCTCTCCCAAGTGGAGCAGAGTTAAGAATAGCTGGAGCAACCCAAGTGGAAGGGGACTGACTTGCAATGACCAGGCCAGTCAACAAAC